TGCTGCTAATTTGAACAGTGTACAACTATGAATTCAATTCTTACTAACAGTATTAATCAATTTGATTTTTTTCGAACGTTTTTTCAATCATCCATATATTTCCTTCTAGTATGGATTGGGGTGGGTTGGACTTTCGATAAGATAGATCGACAAAACACATCGACAGTAATACATCGAAATCAAAAAGATTAATTATCATCATGTCATTAGATTAGTCTATTAGAATAAGAAGCAAATAAATTGAAAATTCGATTTTGATTGTTAAATAGTAAGGAAAAAAGAGAAGTGGACCACAGTGTGAAAGTTATGAATTATTTATTCATAATTTGAAATGAGTCTTCATATTGACATTTATTCAATTAAAAGCACTGCATCAAATTTTATCAACTGTTCAGATCTAGACTCTCTATCTTTTTGCTATGTAATTAGATGCCATTCAAAACCATCACTGTTTATTTATCATAAACTCGATCTGAAAAATCGTACATGCTTATGCGCAATATGGTATACTACATACTAGTATCCTGCGGGAACGACTTTTTCTGATTCCCATTCCCTATTCCCATTCCCTAAAAAAAAATTTTGGTTCCCATTCCCTATTCCCATTCCCTAAAAAAAAATTTTGGTTCCCATTCCCTTTTTCCCATTCCCTAGAAAAAATGTTTTGTTCCCATTCCCATAGTTCCCATAAGATTTTCTAAGGCTCTGCTCATCTATGCGAAAGTGTCATTGGCATATATGTATACCAGTTTCTCGCAACATCACGTTTTGCGCATCGCGACGCTGTTACATAATGCTTCACTTATTTTCTTTTCCTGTTTTGTTGTGCTTGTTGGCATTGGTTAAGCAGGTGTTCCTGCGTATATGCACTATACATTCAAGCTGGGGTGCTTTTTCCTTAAAAAAGTGTTCCACTGTGTAATTAGAAAATGTATAGTCCAACATAGTGTTCATCATATAGAGAGAATGTTCCTCTTATAGTAAAGTGTTCCCCTCCCCTCACCCAAATAGAAAATTAAAAAAATTATAGATAAATATTGAGATTATTTATTGATAAATCGTTTGTTTTTTTGTTGTAAATAACCTTAATATTTATTTATAGTTTTTTTTATTTTCTATTTGAGGGAAGGAAGAGAAAATAATGATGTATCGCAAGATGATCTTGGTAATGTCATTTTCGAAGTCGATGATGAAAAAGAAAATAATATTTGTGATGATTAAACTACGATGTGATTAAGAATAAATCAATAGTCTATTTTTTGTTGATACACATTTGTTATTTTTTTGGTAATTGTATATGAATAAGAAAAGTTATTGAAAATAAACAGTTATCAGATAGAAATATTTTTATATGTATTGAAATAAGATAAAAAGAATTTTGGGAACGTCCATTTTTAATTCTGTTCCCATTCCCATGTTTCCATTCCCTAAGTCTAAATGAGAATTCCCATTCCCATCTTCCCATTCCCTAAGTGTAAATGGGAATGGGAAAATTAGGGAAAAAAGTCGTTCCCGCAGGGCACTACTTGATAGGCATTTTATTCCTCTATATATTGATTTCACACTGATTAGTCTTTTTCCAACATAATAATTGATGCCGCTTCTTGTATATATTGGTCATATTTCTGACAACAGCTAATACAAAGTTTCAGAAATGATGAGTCTTTCGAACAATGCCATTTTTCAGTTTCTTTTTTCACAAAGCAAATTTCAATCTCAAGCAAATACTATATTTCGTTCAGATGATTTTTCGTCTTATATCGATGATAACTATCTATAACTGCATTAAATGGTATACAAACATTGCACAGTGAAAGAAGAGTAGTTAATATATCGAGAAAGTTTTATTAAATACTTTTACAATTGCATAGAAACGAATACAAATGTTCTACTAAGAACTAATTATTTTTATTACATTGAATTAGTAAATTGAATATTCTTTTAATTGTCAATTATTCCATCTTTTTCACATGCTGAGTTACCGCACAGTTACAATAACGAGAAATTTCAATCTAATTTGACACAACTAATACCACCATCATGGTTATTATTTACTAGAACGAAAGATAATATGCATAAATCGGCATTATTACGCTTTATTTTTACATATGACCTTATTTTCTAGAAAAATTGAATTATTCATTGAGTGTATTTTTCTTTATGTTGTTAGTATCAACTGCACAACAATCAGTGTCATGCGAGAACAACTTTTCTTGATTCCTGTATTTTTATTACTATAATGCTTACAAAATTCCACTTACGATTTCGTTTTTGTATGTTTCAGAAAACTATCATTAGCACACACCAGTTTCTATCAATAGCAGACTATGTGCAACATGTGATGGTCTTAAATTAAAAATTATATTATAAATGCAGGTAGATTTTATGAAAAAAAATTCAAATATTGTCTATACGTCGGAATTTACTAACGTTAAATTAGAATCTAAATGCATCTCATTATAAAGTTAATTAATTGTTTGATTAATTTTTTTTTTCAGCAAATTTTCTCTCAAAACATTATTGTCACTTAGAGGATATCATACAAACTTCTTAACATCAAATAATTTCTTAGAAGATCATTTTTCTGCTAGCGAATCTATTCTATTTGTAACGAATTCATTCTAAGCATTCACTATTGTAAAATTTATACAATGAACTAACAACATCGAATGGCTTAGTGATTAGAGCGATTACTATTCAGTTCATACATCTAAGATGAGAATACTTATTCGACCTATTCTTTTTTTTTCTGACTCGGATTTTCTTCTGATTGATAAAGAGTGTTCAGTAAGTTTTAATCCGCCTTAATCAATAAATTTATTGATTACGCAGATCAAAACTTAGTGAACAGTCTTTATGCCATAAGAAAAATCTCGATTACTATCACTACTAAAAATCCATTCATATAATAACGTATAACTGTAACCGATCAGATCCATCTTAAATTTGCCAATTTTTAATTTGTATTTAAACTAAATTGAAAGTGCATATCAATTGACATCGCTATATTATTCTGTCACCAGATTTATTATACAAATTTTCCACATTTACAACTCTTGATAAATTCCGAAAAAGTAACATATATCACGATTATTTAAAAAATTTCAACAAATCCAACAAAAAGGTCCTGGAAGCTGCAGTTAAGTTAAGAAAATTGTTTCTTTCATCAATTGAACAATTCAAAAATATAAAAAAAAAAATACTAGCACATCAACAAGACCGATGAAACAAACGAAAACATTCAAAATGAAAAGATCATAATAATGATATATTGCGAGATAATCTTAATAACGTTTTTTTTTTCTTACGTGATATTTACTGAAAAAAAATAATAGTTATGATGATTAAATTGCAATTCAATAAATAACCAATGAGCTTGTCTAATTTTTGTTGATAACTATTTATTATTATTTTCTTTAATTGATAAATAATGCAAAAATATTTGAAATACTGTCGAAATCTGTTTCTCAACGACAAAATATCAGTTTAACCTTGACATCTTTTATTTAAAAGAGCACAGTTTTGAGCACATATATATGAGAAAAATAAAACAAAATGATATTTTGGAACAATCATTTTTTAATACCATTTTCGTTTCTGAATTTCATGTTAACGGGGATTCAAAAATATGAGAAAAAAACTCGTTCCTGTTCATCATTAATAATAAAACTTGTTCACATTCTTTTTCGTAGTAAAAGACCAACTCATCAACATGCATTTCTTTTTTTTCTACTCTCAAAACAACACTTTTTTTCTTTCAGTCAAAATAAAGCAAGCTCGATTTGTTACCGTCGGCATTTATTTGTCTACGAGTCATTTTTTTCTTCACACTGGAGAAAAAAAAGACTCAACTTATGCAATTATTACTTTTGTTGGTATACAAGTAGGATTTGTCCAAATGAGTGTTTCTTGTATTAAGGACAGCTTGGAAAAGTTCAATCTATTTTCATACTATATAAGTCCATAAAAATTGTATTCTCATTTGCGAAGAATTGCATTGAAGTAAAATGCCAAAGCAACAATTTTATAAGCAATTATCTGTTGAAGAAGCTCAAGATGCTGTAATAGATTACGAAGATGATCATTACCAAGAATTCTATCATTTACTGTTCGATCAATTATTAAATAATATTAAACATATACCATTCGAGAGGATTATTCAAAATTATCTGCAGTACGGCAATACTGTACGCAACTATAAAGAGGCACATTCTCTCGTTTGGCTTTACACAGCTGATCGGACGTTCATCGACTCACTAACGATCTATTCATTTCGTTTTGCCAATGATTGTCATCCCGAATTTTATAGAACATTTGAAACAAAATCTCATCATCTCTTTTCATTAGTACAACGTCGAAGACATAAATACAATGGATGGTATGAATATATAGGACAAGGATTATTAGACTATGTAGACAAATATTTAAATATCGAAACAGTTGTTAAAAATCAAATCCGTCACAAGACAAAATTATTTATCCATCAAAAACAAGAAAGAATAGATATACAATTTAATTTCAATTCTATCGGCGAACGAATATCAATCAGTTTTGAACCAGGTTTTCCTGAGTCTTCATAGCCCATTCTTATGAAATATTTTATAGAATTGTTTTTTTTTGAAACTTATTGTTAATTGTAGTTTATATTTTTTATAAATAAAATAATCAAGAATTTAGATATTGTTTTTTTCTCTTAAGGCATTTGTTTACAAAAATGATGAATATAAAAAATAGAATATTGTTCCCGAATTTATACGCAAGTCTAATATTTATTATAATTAAGATACGTAGGGCACTACAAAAGTTTTTTCATACAGCTCTTCTAGAAATGGTAATTTGAGGACATCTAGCCTATCATAAGAGATAAACATATTTAGGATTGTGTGCAAAATTCCAGTCTTCCACGTATTACCCATCGTTCTATTTTTTCATTTTTTTCGTGTCACCCCCACATAATTTTCAACATGAGTTTTGAACTCTCCCGTGAACAATTTCGCACAATGATTTTGTATGACTGGAAAATTGGTTTAACATACAAGGATAGTCATGCCCGTTTGGTGCAGGCATGGGGGGAGCAAGCACCTTCTGACCATACAGTCTTCAACTGGTTTCGTGAATTTCAACGCAATAAATTCAGTGTTCAAGATGCTCCTCGCTCAGGTCGTCCTTCAACATCTGTTACTCAACAAACCATTGATGCTGTACGGACAATAATTGAAGGTGATCCTCATTCAACATATCAACAAATTGAGACCATATTGGGCATCAGTTCCACAGCAATTAATTCGATTATTCATGATTATTTAAATCTAAGAAAAGTTTGTGCTCGGTGGGTGCCACATACACTAACCGACGACCAAAAACAACTCCGTGTTCAATTTTGCGGTCATTAACTAAAGAGATTTGAAGAAGGTCAATCCCGTCGTGTATTTGACATTATAACAGGTGATGAAGCTTGGTTCTATCATTATGATCCCGAACTAAAAGAACAATCAAAAGTTTGGATGTCGACAACTGATCCACATCCAACCAAAGTCCATCGAAACAAAAGTGCCGGGAAAAGAATGGTGGCAATTTTTTTCATGAAATTTGGTTTAATTAAATCTGTTCCATTAGAAACAGGTGCTACGGTGAACGCAAACTGGTATGTCAACACATGCTTACCACAAGTCTTCACAGCGATATCTGAACGAAGAGAAACGCGAGGTCTTCGAGGTCTCATTTTTCATGACGATAATGCAAGGCCGCATCGAGCATGGATTACCAATGAATTTTTGCTGGAAAATCACGTAGAACAATATCCAAATCCACCATATTCTCCAGATTTAAGTCCTTGCGACTTCTTCTTATTTCCAAAACTCAAGAAGCAGCTGCGTGGAATTCGATTTAACGACGACAATGAAATGCTAACTGCTTTAGAACAAGCCATTGACAGTCTCACAAAAGAAGATTTTAAAAACTGTTTTGAAGACTGGTTTATTCGAATGCATAAGTGCATTGATGCTAATGGACAGTACTTTGAAAAAATAAATTAAAATCCTCCTCTGAATATTTATCCTAAAGGCGTATGAAAAAACTTTTGTAGTGCCCCACGTATGATTCTTTTTTTCCTATATTCATGCGCTTGTTCATGATGAAAAAAAAAAGAATTTTAATGAAAGCAGTCATATAGTGACAAATGTAGGCTGTTCTATGAATGACATTCGCTAATTCAAAGAGAATTATCATTATTTCTTATAAGATTTTTGTCTAATATTGATTCTCCAGTGAATATTTCCGATAGAGTTTGAAAGTAAGTTCACATCGACGAAAGATCTTTGTTTACTTCATAATTTTTCACTACTGTTAAAATTCTATACCACAACAAAAAATCTGTTTTAGTTAGTTTTGAAGTCATAATTGACTTAGCAAAAAAGAAAGACTTGATGATTTTGAAAAATATATCTAGACTAGCCAACAATTAATAAAGAAAAGTAGATATGATTTTTTTAACATTTAATCTTAGTATTTCCGTAATTTATGTCTCCAAGGATAATTCTTTTTGATAATTATCTTAGCAGCTTTTCGTTGTTCTTCTATTATTATGACACAATTCATAATTCTTTTGTGTGTAAATACTTGATTATTATGTCAAATAAAAAAAAATGAAACATAACCATTTTGATTTTTGATTTCTTGACTTTTTGTGACAATGTTATAAGATGAGAAAATTAAATATCAAATCGATTATTAATGATGAAATAGATATTCTTTTTTCATTTTTGGTTTCGTTGATCAAAACACACGAAATATCACCGTTTATGTGTAAAACATCGTATCTCGAACGAACAGAAGTTCAATCTATATATGTGAATCAACTGATTATCAGCAACGTTCATCATGCAGTTGCTGTCATGATGATGATGATGATGCAAGCGTTATGAACGTCTCTTTTAAACAATTTTAAAAATGTATGTTTAGTGAGCTTCATTTTCATATCTCGATCAATGATTCTAGCGTATAGCTCTATGTTTTTTCGGCTAAAAAAGAGTAATAACTTGGAAGCAGGTGCACAATCCTCGTGTTCAACCATAGTTCACCTTTCTATCATTGTCTGAAATCCTTCGAGCGAAACTGGTTCTATATCATTCACTTGAGCATTAAAATATACACACATCGCGAATAAAAAATATGTTCAGTAAAACCGAAGGATACGTTTTTTTTTTTCTTTCTAAGCACAAATTATTCATTTTATTATGCACATATTTTATGAAAATTACGCAAAAACTTTAACTGACTGTTCAAGAATTGTGATTAGTAGTGATGTGGATCCAATATTACATAGCGTGCTCTATACGATATAGTTTATCAACAACAATTGCATTAAGTATTGTTGAATCTTTATTTAATATTATCAAAACGTTCTTTTTGTATTGATAATGATATTAGCTAATGACTGTAAGTCAACAGAAACTTACACATTTACTATTATCTATAGTATAAAAAAAATAAAACTATTTTAACAAAAAAATTATTTAATAAATCTCCTTTTTGTACGTTTGATCTATATTTATTCTAATTTATTATTTTTTTAAAATTTATATATCAAAAATATTGTGTTACTGCCTTGTTGTCATCTATGAAAGTTCGCGTATCATTATTATATATATTTTTCATTTGTAATCAAAATGTCTCATGTTTGTATGGTTTTCACAGTATTTAAAAATTATAAAAAATATATAGATTTTTTTCGACATTGAAAATTTATTTACAATTCAAATTTTCAATCTCTGTTCACCACTGGAAAGAACATATATGTATAATGCATAAAATTTATTTGTACTATAATTTGATGTATAACATAACAAATAACTTTTATAAAAAATATTTACATTAATAAAAAGAAACAGTAAAGAGAAATATTTATTTATAAAATCTTTTTTGACTATTTTCTACATATTTAAGAACTAATCTGTAGTAATTTATGAATAGTTTTGCTTATTCGTTTGTATCAGAATTCTCATTAACATTTTCTTGTATTTCATTATTTGTAATATGAAGATTAGTATCCATTTGTGAACAAATTTCTTTTATATCATCGATTGATGTATTAGTTGATGATTCTATTGATAGTGTCGAAGTTGCATCTTTTTTCTTATAAAAATCAGACCATTGTTCAATTATAATTTTAGATGGAGCATTGTTACCAAAAGTTGAATATAATTCTTGATGAATTATTTCTGGACCAATATTTAATGCAGTACGAACTCTTACATAAAAGCGAAAATTCCTTCCATTACACTAAAATAAAATATTAAGTTATTTGTTTCATAATTAAAAATCAATACATAAGATGAGAGATAGTTGTTCACTATAAATGATATTTACTTTAGTAAAAATATTTGTTGAATCATTAATATCTTGACCTTCAAATAATTTTGGATTTTGATTTTTGAAATCAAGCGCCTTACGATAAAGTATACCCAAAATTGATTGAGATTGATATGAAGGATTTTTCATTAGAAAATCTGGGTATATATTACCAACAATTTTTCTAATTTCTTTTATACGATCTCTGTCTATTTGATATCCTGTTTTACCAGAATCGACTATAATCAATAAACAAAATATGATATGTAGCCGAAGATGAAAGTATAAACTCACTAGCAGCAGAAAACATTTCTGCCATTTCAATAGCTAATTTCTGACAGGTACATTTTGCATGCTTTTCTATGTTTTGATCAACAACAATAGCATGTAAATTATAAATTTCACCATAACTTGTAGCACCCAACAAAGACAGACAATAATTTATAATATCATTAGCAGTAATAGATGTCGAATGATCCTTAGGTGATTGTGCTTTATATTCAAGAGGTTGAATTGTTTCAGAAATTTGCAATTCTCGGCCCCAATAAACCTAAAAATAAATCATTATAAATCGAGACAAGAAAAAAAAAGATACTTACAAAATAGTGATCACCATCAAGATCAGATCCAGCAATTTTATTACAATCTGGTCCTATATGAAATTATATTTTTAATAGAATAAAAAATATTTATTACGACTTACGATTGCCCTCAGTCGAAAAGACAAATACATCTTTGAGACAATCAAGTTCAGGTAAATCGACAGCTTCCAATTTCATAATATCACCAGCATACGGACTAGAAATAAATTTTTATTTTTTGAATTGAGAAAATGAATTAAAATTATACCAAGGATTTTTTGTAATAATTACTGGTCCTACAACTGTTTTAAATTCTGGATTCCTAAGTGGTCTTCCATTATCATCAACAACTTGATATCGAATAAAACATTGACCTGATTCAAGTTTTGATTCTAATGTACAACCAAACATATATCGACATTCGTTCATAGGCAAAGGTATTTTATTTTTAAGCATATCTCTGTAGAAAAGAAAATGATTTTTTTGTCAAATCGAAATGAATTAAATATATATTTACTGTTTACAACGTGGTGGTTGTTTTTTATTATTGAACCATTTTTCTTGTAGATCAAGAAATAGTGAGTTGGGTATACCAAGATCCGATAATAATATAATGATTTGATTGTTAAGTCGAGTAGGAACTATAACAAAATAAAATTTAACCATAAGAAAACAGTCAAAAAAAACGGAGCATACTCGGTCGACTTTCTTCGCATATATCTAAGTCCCATTCATCATAGCTAAATTTCTTCATTGATGGACGAATTTTAATATAAAATTCATTTAAATTCGATTCAGGATCGATAATAACAATACCTTTACAACCAGCCATGCGAATTTGATATGCAGATGGATATAATTCCTAATTTAGAGAAAAATATAAATCAAGAGAAAAATAATAAACAAAGAAATACACATACATTTTGTTCATATTTAATAAGATAACCAAGTTGTTCAGCAACTTTTTTTGCCAAACCTTTAGAAATCAAACCATTTCCGTCTGTAAAACAATAATCATTTCGTCTTATATCAGAAATCTCTGTTACACACATATCTCCTTGTTGAACTCTTGAATTGAATTCTTGTAGATCGGAAATGTAGGTAAGTTTAATCTTAAAGAATAAGCATTTCATTCATAGATTATTATTTTTAAAAAAAATCACTAAAACTATTTACCCCACTTGGATTACTCTTAGAAAACCATAGACCTAATCGTGCTACATATTTGCCAGTATTAGTGATATCACTAAATTCACCTAATTTTTTTCGTTTTTGATGAGCTTCTTCCAAAGATGTTGCTCTTATAAACCAATAACTATATTCACCTAATTGAGAATTCGATACACCAAAAAAATGGTAACGATTATTACAAATTTCAATGCCTGATTCGAAAACATTTTTGAATCGATTGCATTTATTAACATATTTAGCTGGTGGATCTGGTTTTAAATATACAAGACAAAAATCATGAATACCATTGAAAGCTTTATGTCGAAGAGCACGATGTCCTTGGGTTGATTCTAATGGCATAATACGTGTTGAAGTCGGAGTAACACGAACAACAGCTACGTCATATGATTGAGTTTTGTCCTTGATAAAAAGAAAAAAAACAGCTTTGAAAATTTTTATTCTATACTTTCTAGAAGTAGCTTACTGAGTTTTCTTCATCTCTCTTATAAAAATCATAGATGGCATTGAATTCTTCATCATTAAAAACAGTTGTTAAATCAAATGATTTATTTCTTTGAAGTTTTTTATAAGCATACAATGCCAATTGATAAAAACATTTTTCATCTCGTTTAGCTAATTTGATCATCAAATTTCGAAGATTTTCATTTGTTGAATAATTATTATCAAATACTGAACCAAGTGAATGAAGTAATTCAATAGCATATTGAGCATCAAATGTTGTATATTCACTTATAAAAAATTTCGACCACATTATCAAAGTACTATGAAAAAATACAACAGAAAATATGAAGAATAAAATATATTTGTATCTGCTGTCTGCACAACATTTATAAGCCAAATAGTGCACCTAGTGACTCATGAAAATTGAGTTGGAAATTTCCAAACGTATTAAAACGAAGTAAAACCTATAATTC